ATCCGTCCTCGAGTTTCCAGAGGTTACAGCGATGCTGGTTGGGTCATGGCTAAATACTCTTCCCGGGTCCCTACATGGGCACCAATGTAACTGAGGTCATTATTTCAATGCCTCCACTAGGGATCAAACCCGGGACTCCTAGCTTACTAGTCTGACGCCGCTCAACCGATCGAGCTAAAGAGAAGTTCTCTCGGTGTCTTTTCACTTAGCCAACATTTTGATTGTTATTGTATACAGGTAAGGTATTTTGTTCGCCAGGTGAGACTAGGTGTGAAAGGTAGAACAATAGGAGATAATTACAGGTAAGGCTATAGACTTCTTCATAAAACTTCCTACTTTCAAGAGAGAAAAATAACTCTGGATATTTAAGAATTACATGTATTTTTATTTCACATTGAATGCATTTACAGCATTAACTTTCTTATATACCCTATTTAAAAGAAACATAGCTACTCTTTTAAATTAAAGAAAAATATATGAATATAAAAAAGTACACACATGGCTGCTATTTTTCAATTACAGAATCATAGAAAAACATAGGAATATCAGAAAGTACACATATAGCTACTATTTTTCAACTATTTCAATTGTTTATGTATATATACATATATAGACACTATATTTCAAACGTCCTTTTGAATAGGAGTATTATGATGTTCTGTGCACCTCTATATCATGAATTAAAATCACCTATTAGTAATTCAATGGTAAAAGCTTATAATTTGTATAATTGATACACTATATACGTGAAGGTAAAAGGTATTCCTATACAAAAGGAACCTCCGAAGGATCGGCACCTTGTCGTGGTCGGCGGGTTTGTGTACCTCGGAGACCCCTTTGAGCTATGCCAGCGGGAGCTTCGTTCTCCTGGAAGGGCAACCCATGCTGGACAGGTCGGAGGGTAGAGGTTTGACGAAGAGCGGTCCACCGGTCCTCCAGGTTAGGGGGTTGGGCATAGGGCTAACAACCCTATCCCGGAAAACACAACTATGTTACGGAAACGGCAGCGAAGATAATCAACACTACTGGGCGTGACGGGCTTTCAGAGTCATCGGAAGATACTTGTATGAATGACAGTGGTGATGTAGCCGCCCTACATGCCACACGGCATAACGGGCATGGGTGAGTGATACAAAAGGAAATTAATTAATTCAATTCGGTACTAGAATGTTTTTTTCACAGCAGAATTTTTCATAACTGGTATTTCTTTTTTGATGCAACACATGCAGTTTATTTCACTATTTCACTGTAAATGCAGTAGATGGGAAGCAGCATCAGCATAACCAAGCACATCAATTTGTCCATTTCTGTATTGGCCTTTCAGTTGACTAGGGTGATAGTCTATAACCCCATTCATACCACGAAAATTTGCTCATATATGCAAATTTACACATGAGTAAATTTACACACATAAGTAAAAGTTAATTTGCTATGCGTTCATAAGCGATTTATGTACCGTCAGTAAATCCCCAAATTGGCATTTGGAATAAGGAGATGGACCGATTCAGACTGATGAATTTTCACAGAAAAAAGGGGTATTCCCTTGCTGTTTGGGAATAGGACTAGCTATTGGATGTTCCCGAATCAAGGAAACTAGAAGGAAAGTCCGATCCACTGAATAGTACGACAGAACCGTAATTAATGACTTTAATGACGAATATTGGTATGAGAATTTTCGAATGAAAAAAGAAACATTCT